AATAGTGAAACATCTTCTCTTTGAAAATGGGTAACCCACTTTTGATTGCTGTTCACTGTAACAACAGTACTGTTGTTGTATAACGGGTGTTATATCCTAGACAACTAAAGCTAGTGGTGAATTGTTCAGATAATCACATCACTGCTTCAATTACACTGACATCCTTTGTGTGGATATAGGCAACATACCCACATGCTTAAAGACAAACCAGCATGAAACTAAAAACTTGCGTTTCCAAATATAAATATAAGAGCTCTTGGATCCAGCAGGAGTTTTAGCATTTTTCTTCACCATGTTAAACTTAGTCTCACTCATTAAGAGAACAGGCTTGATTTCAAGCTAATGATAAACCAACAAATACTACCTAGGCTTTTCCTGATCCTAGTCTGTTCCTTGTGCTTTTTATGAAGTGCTACAAGACAATTCTTGGTATGCAGAGCACTAGGTTAATGCTGGAGAATCATAAAAGCTACCAGAAAACAAATTCCCCTTCATACCAAACCCAAACAACTCCACTGCTGTATGAATAGATTTAGATATTGTAAGAACTCAAATTCCAGTCTGGAAAGACTCAGGCTAAAACTCATGTTATAGTGAGAGATTAAGCTTATGGCCTTTAACAACAACTGAAGAGTTGCAATAAGCTTTTATAATACTGGTAACAAGACTGGTTTTGATGACAGGGAGGCTGAGGGAGCTGGGCTTGTTCAGCCTGGAGAAGAGGAGGCTCAGGGGCGACCTTATTGCTCTCTACAGGTACCTTAAAGGAGGCTGTAGCAAGGTGGGGGTTGGTCTGTTCTCCCACGTGCCTGGTGACAGGATGAGGGGGAATGGGTTAAAGTTACATCAGGGGACGTTTAGGTTGAACATTAGGAAGAACTTCTTTACTGAAAGGGTTGTTAGGCATTGGAATGGGCTGCCCAGGGAAGTGGTTGAGTGCGTGTGTCGATCTGCTCGAGGGTAGGAAGGCTCTGCAGGAGGATCTGGATAGGCTGCACCGATGGGCTGAGGCCAACTGCATGAAGTTCAACAAGGCCAAGTGCCGGGTCCTGCACCTGGGGTGCAATAACCCCAAGCAGAGCTACAGGCTGGGAGATGAGTGGTTGGAAAGCTGCCAGACAGAGAAGGACCTGGGAGTGATGGTTGATAGTCGGCTGAATATGAGCCTGCAGTGTGCTCAGGTGGCCAAGAAGACCAACAGCATCCTTGCTTGCATAAGAAACAGTGTGGCCAGCAGGGCTAGGGAAGTGATTGTCCCCCTGTACTGGGCTCTGGTGAGGTCGCACCTCGAGTACTGTGTTCAGTTTTGGGCCCCTCGCTACAAGAAGGACATCGAGGTGCTTGAGCGAGTCCAGAGAAGGCCGATGAAGCTGGTGAGGGGCCTGGAGAACAAGTCCTACGAGGAGCAGCTGAGGGAGCTGGGCTTGTTCAGCCTGGAGAAGAGGAGGCTCAGGGGTGACCTTATTGCTCTCTACAGGCTACCTCAAAGGAGGCTGTAGCAAGGTGGGGGTTGGCCTGTTCTCCCACGTGCCTGGTGACAGGACGAGGGGGAATGGGCTACAGTTGTGCCAGGGGAGTTTTAGGTTGGATGTTAGGAAGAACTTCTTTACTGAGAGGGTTGTTAGACATTGGAACAGGCTGCCCAGGGAAGTGGTGGAGTCACCATCCCTGGAAGTCTTTAAAAGACGTTTAGATGTAGAGCTTAGGGATATGGTTTAGTGGGGACTGTTAGCGTTACGTCAGAGGTTGCACTCAATGATCTTGAGATCTCTTCCAACCTAGATATTCTGTGATTCTGTGATCCCTGGAGGTTTTTAAAAAACATTTAGATGTAGAGCTTAGATATGTTTTAGTGGTTTAGTGGAGGGCTTGTTAATGTTAGGTCAGAGGTTGGACTAGATGATCTTGGATGTCTCTTCCAACCTAGACAATTCTGTGATTCTGTGACACTTTCATAAATTCTTCAAAGACATCCCTAAATCATTGTCTTCTTTCTGATTTCACCTCCCATTCAAATCTTGCCTTCAAACTTCAAACTGAAATTTATTTTTTTTTTCTCACGCCTTTCTGCCTATCAAAATGCTACTTCAGTTCTGCTTGAATAAATGCTTTTCACAGCCTTTTATTCCTCTTGCATCTGTACTGTAAAACTGTAAATAAATAAATAAAAATGTGGAAATAGGAACATGCCAAAGTGGCAACAAATCATTTGAGGTAAGAAACCGTAACATAACACAACAGCAGTTCAAACTGTAGACAAATAATATTTCCAAAGAGTTAAAGAAAACTCTATTTTAGTTCACAAATCAAAGACAAATATAAAGCTAAGAAACAATGTGCATGCACTTAAAGACAATCAAGGACAGAGTAGTGCAGGACATGGTAGAGAGGGGTGATTCTGAGGTTTCCTAAAATATTAAATTTGATTTTTGCTGTATGATCTGCTACAGCAAAAGTTGTGTTAGAATTTTAACTAATTGAGAAAAATATCCTAAAGCATTGACTGCATTTTCCTTTTCCTTTTTTTTTTTTTTTTTATTGTTTTTGTTTTGGTTATACATGATGCTTTGCTTATCCTTTAGCCAGCTGCTCAATAAATATAATTTTTTATTAGTTTACCACATGTTGGCTCTTTGGTCAAGAAAGGAAAAATTATGCATCAAATCATGAATAATGATACTGGACAACAGGTAGATGAATCCAATCACATGCATTGTATGGTGTTTCAGGTACTCTTTGTATGTGTGTCCCACTGATGCTTATCTATCCACATGCTTCTCACCCTTCTTCAGTACAAATCTTACTCAGTATTACTGCCTTTGTCATTTTGTCCAACCACCAAAGGAAACACTGTCAATATAGCATTTGTGTATGGTGTGTCAATATAGCATTTGTGTATGGTGTGTAGGAGAGTATACTCAAACATATAGTGCTCGTACTTCGTATAAAGCTATAAAGTAAGCAGAAGATAGCATCTCCCCACCTGGCACACAGCAGGGTTTCTTTACTTTCCCAGAAGAATCAAAACACTTTCCAGAGAAGAACTTGCTAGTAAATTGCAAAGCATTCAATATTTAATGCCTTATCTTTATGTCTTCTCTACCCCTGTTTATTTATAATGCAACAGGAACCCAAGTAGAAGAGATACACTTCTATTGGCATGCATGTGACATGATTAATGGCACATTAAATACATCAGTTTCATCATGACCGGTTGAGCCGACAGGTACGCCTAGACCTACAAGTATGTAGCTGTCATTCCTATGGCTTGAACTATAAACCTGGGAGCGACAAGGAGCCTTCCAGAACCGCAGAAATACCACTGTCAGTTTAAGATCAGCAGAATTACCCTTCCTTCCTCTCCTATTCACAGAAGTGAACAGAAATAGAAGCTATGAAAAAGACAGCTAATG